CCCCCCCTCACCCTTCCTTTCTGCCCTGTCTCCAGGCCCTGTTCTCCAGGGCCCGCGCCCTCTACTCCGGCACCCACACCCCGTATCGTAACCTATTAACTCTAGAGGACAGTCGCAAGGCGCGGGGGTTGCGAGGATACGCCTCCAACCCGGCCCCACGCCGCTCTCCTACCCCGCCCCACCCCGCGCAGCACAGCAGCAGAAGCAGCAGCACCCCGCGCTAGCCTTCGCTGCAGCTTTGCGACGGAAAATGGGAAAGTAATGTTGTTAGACGACGGCGGGGAGGGCGCGGCGCGGGCATAGGGGTCCGTTGTGGCGAGTGTCTCCAGCGTTGCCTCCAGCGTTGCCTCCAGAGGCGACCTCCGGCTAACGGCGCAGTGCGGTGAGGCTCACCCAGAAAAATGGAAAGTTGTCGAAACCATCCCATGGTTCTTTCAGGGATAACTATATTCTTTTAGGGATAACCATATTTTATGGTTTTCCCTGAAAGAACCATGGGATGGTTTCTACAACCTTATTTTATGGTTGTCCCTGCAGCAACCAAAAGGTTGCAACAACTTTTCATTTTTCTGAGTGGGGGGGGGGGAGGGCTTGGAGGGTGGGGGAGGGGGCGTCCCCAGGATAAAGTTGCAATTTTACCAGGGGCTTTTCCCTTCCTCCACCCCTTAGTCCTGCCCCGACTACCCGCACCCCCATCCCCTCTCCATCTCTACCCCCTCCCCGTCGAGGCACGCCGTCCTAGAGTGACGTGGAGTGTACCCAAATGCCAGACACTTGCGCCCTTTCAGCTCGCCGCCGCCTGTGCCCCCTGTTCCAGCTGCCCTCACCCCCCCCCAGAGGAACCCGACACACGACGACCCTCGAATCACACTTCATTTTCCTCGCCAACGACGTTTTGGGACAGTGATGCGTAAGGAAGTCGCAGCAGGTGTCCGAGCAGGTCGTCAAGGTCACGGTCACGCCGTCCACAGCCGACACTTGCGGCGGGGGCGGGCGGGGGAGACGACGGACGGACTGCCGAGCGACGCTTTATTGCGTAAACAGTGACACATGTGGGCCAGCGGGCCAATGTCGCCCCGGCCTCGAGGGAGGCCGTGTTCGGGGCCGGCCAGGTGGGGAGATAAGCCCCTCGCCCTCCCGCACCTGGCCACCTTGCCCCCCGCGAAGCCCGGCCCGGCCTGAGCCTCAAGCTCACGCGCCCGTGAGGAGGACGGCAGGGCGTCGTCTTGTTGGGACTGCGGTGGGGTTTAATCTACGCGCTCTACGCCGTCGAGACCAACACACACATACACACACACCTGCAAAGTCGATGGAACGAGGAATGAAAACAGAAACAACCTTGGCTTGTCCGGCGCCAAGCCCGCGGTACAGTTCTGGCGAGCGTATGCAGCAGTCCCCCCCCCCTTTCTTCCCCTTTCCCCCAACCGCCCTTAATAAGACGCCTGAGGCAACTCGCAGTGCAGATCGTCTGGCAGTTGGCAAAAACCTCGGTATGACCAACCCCAAAATTAGATCCTGGCCACGCCTACCCACCTGCCCACAGGTAAGTCTTAAGCTTGTCTGCAAGTCTTCCCTGCTCACCCTCGTGGACGCAACGACTGAATACGGAAGACGTGGGCAGGACTCCGAAGCAGCAGCTCGCCACTCTGCTTCACCGCACCGCTCGGGCGTACCATTCGGATACATTTACGCCGTAACGGTGGGTCTTTTCTACTACCCAATCGCAGAGGGATCCTTTGATGTAAACATCATACGTCATAGCCAGGTTGTGGTCGAACTTTGCTGCTTCCCCCAGACCCTTAAAATCCCAGCGGCACTGGAGTAGCATAATGTCCGTGATCTCTCCGTCGTTAACCTCTTCTGCTACCCTTCAGTTTTTTTGTCGTGTTTTTTTTTTTTAATATCACCTTGAGGTTTTACGCTACCACGCACGTTTATATTGAGATTTGTGACGCAAAAAATGTGAAAATCAGAGAACGAACAAGAAATTCCGTACTCTGAATTACGCGCGCATAGGCCTAACCTCAACACGTCGTTGCGACGGAGGACATACATGTTTTCTCGTACCCTCACTGCAGTGCTTTTCGAATCGGTTGGTCACCGCTCGAGATCCTCATCGGGAACCAACAGGGGGCAGAGAAATGCATAAAAGGGTTTTCAAGTTCCAGATGGGTCGTGCGTCCGTCAGCTGGGTGACTTCATTCATCCCTCTGTGCACCCCCCCCCCCCCTCTCATGCTCACCCTCTGCAGGGCTGCACCACAGCATCCCGCCGTGGGGGGTCGCCTCGCGGACCCGCGGGCCGGACCCTGGCTCTGACAACGCGCTCCCGCGGTCCAGAGGCCTTCATGCAGACCCCCTACGTCCTGCGACACCATTCAACGGCCCTCGCAGCCCCCGCGGGGGCCCTGGGGTTGCGGGGACTCGGGGCGCCATGCTGGTGGCGGAGCAGGGGTTGCACCAGGGTGTCCTCGCGGGGCCACGCGCGCCCGGGGAGGTGTTGGGGAGCCCGCATTGGACAGGACGGACGACAAGCAGGTCGAGATCGCGGGGTACTCACGTGTACGCTTGTGTCGTCGTCTTGATGTGCTGCGGGAGTCGTTCGAAACACTGGCGGAACTGTTCGAACTCCGTGTCCGCCATGTTTGTTTTCTGCGTCGGCCACCACCCCACTGGCCTGGGTGGCCTCAGCGTGCAGCGGAGCGCCGTGGCGCCAGGCGGGGGGCGGGCGCGGGGGCGGGCGCGGAGTGAAGGGGGAGGCGCAGGATCGATCGCCGCCCGCGAGCCGTTCCGGGTGGCGCGCACAAGGCGCAGGGCTTCGCGAAAGGCTTCCCCCAGGACGTCGCGGCGACGCCAGCGCCGCGGCTGGACGTGGCTGGAAGCAGCGCGCGAGCGGGCAGGACGTCGCGCCCGACGCGCTCGCGCCGAGGTGCGGTGCGCTGGCGTCCTCTACCGGTCAGGACCGGAGTGGCGAAGGGGGAAGCTCTAGGAGGTGTGGAGTGGGGCAGTACGACCCCCCCCTTCCCTTCCCGTTTCACCTTTACCATTCACGTAGGGAATACTCAGGATTTGTGGGGTCTGAACCGGAGGCGCGTTGGAACTCCAAGTACTACTAGCAGAAGTTGTTGAAGGTCACGACCCTGGTACTCGGCCCGTCCGGCCCCGGCGACATGTTGCACCGGACGTGTTTGGCCTCGGCGGGCGACCACGTCTCTGTCGGAGCATCGCCACCGACAGGCGCCGACAGGCCGGCCCTTAGCCCCCCTGCACCCAGAAAACTGAAAAGTGGTGAAAACCGTATTGTTGGTTGATGCAACTCATATGCTGTTGTTGCCTCAACCATATTTTATGGTTGTCTATGCAGTAACCAAACGCTGCGGTTGATACAACTTTTCCTTTTTCTGGGTGTGGCCGGCAAGGGCGTTCGACGTGGGCGAGCGGACTGCCGACGAAACGCTGGTTTGAGAGGCAAAGGCAGAAGCCGTATCCTTTTGGTCATAAAATGCTACCGGCCGTTAGGTTCATATAAAGAGGACTACATTACTCCACTCAGACCCCAAATGGTCCACACACAGTGTGGGTGATCCGCGCCGTGGGTTCTTTCTGCTTAAACTGTACCGGATTCATGCGTGCGGACGGGTTGCATACTCGCACGGGGCCGTAAGGCGCCATGGCGAGCCTATTGCCTATCGTCGCTCGCCATGGCGCCTTACGGCCCCGTGCGAGTATGCAACCCGTCCGCACGATAGGCCAAACAAAAGTAAAAATATCATTTTATGACGATGACCATGACCAAAAAATACCCAAAATTCTACGAGTTCGGCCAACTCCGAAACGGTTGAACCACATCAAAATCCCCTTTGCATATTGATTTTAGGTACTAAGAGGTACAATCTCAATTTGTTTGATCCAAACCGATTCTGCCATCTATTTCCGTTTTGAAGTTTTTGACATAAATCTTGAATTCAGAAAGAAGTTATTTTCAAAAACAGTTTTTTTTTTGTGTGTGTGTGTGTATGTGTATGTGTGAGAGTATTTTTTTTCTGCCACTGATTCCAAAACACTTTTGCCCACCCGGTTAGGGCTCCAGAGGCCGTCAAAGTTGAAGTTTTTCAGAAAAGCGGAAAACTTCAAATGGCTCTAGCTCGACTCCTGGTTGAGCTAGAGCGGAACGCAAGTCACCGTTGGATACAAAACAAAGAGGACTACAAAACCCCACTGAGTGTGAGAGCACCAGAGGCCAAAGTGGGTCCAAATAATTGTGGGCTCCCTATAGCTGGATTTACCCAACAGTTGCAGAAACACAACCCTGAGCGACCCTGAGGGCCTGGCAAACCTACATGGAGAGGCAAGAATATCTGCAGAAATACAGAAACTTAAGGCGTCTACAGATTTCGACGCTATTAATTGCGAACTCCGTATAGTGCGTGAAAACACACCACGCACCAACCCCAAGGCCCCGGTGTTGTTCCCTTCTTTTCATGGAGCCTTGTTTTAGATAAAAACTGCCTTGCTGCTCGTCCTGCTCGGTCCTGCTGCAACGCCTAAAAATCGCAGGTCTTTTGTCAGGGGAGGCAGGAGGCAGGGTTCCCCCCTCCCCCCCTTCCTCTCTCCCGCCCCACCCTCGTAGAGCTGGAGGGGCCCACGTCCACCCTCTCCAGCCGAGCAGAGGCCGGCCTGGTCCGGCTCCAGGGCTGCCGCTGCCGCTGCCGCCGCCACCGCTGCGCAGGCCCTGGGAGGCCCTTGATGGCTTGTATATTTGGTCTTTGCCGATTGAGGCCCCGAGAACAATCGCCCCAGCTCCTCTGTGAAATGAGCCACCGACCAAAAGGGGGGGCTGGGGAAGGGGG